CTGGAATTCATTAGTCAAGTAAATTGCAGACTTTATGTTGTTTGGCTAAATCTTTTTAAACGTGTAACAATTCCTGGAATAAGGGAGCTTGATTTCCAGAGCACTATCCTAGTGAATTATAACACTACTTAATTTGGATTTTAAGCTCTTCTTCAGCTGAGTCAACCGCTGAATAGATATTTGGTGATTTAATAATCCCAATATTGCAGCAGGAAATTTGCACTATTGAAGTGCAATCTGGGCTAGAGCTACAGTATTTTTTTGTGGTGACTGCATTGGGAACTGAGCTTCTGTTAAATATTTTGTCCAGTTGTGATTTGGCAAAAAGCATGGACACCAAGTATCAGCTGGGGGTGAATCAAAAAGTTTGTTTCAATGCTGTTTCCCAAGAAGATGTGGGCTAAGGGAGCACCCAGACATTAGGTTGGGGCAGCACAGTGACTCACAGTGCCAGGGACCAGGGTTTAACGCCACCCTCGGGCGACTCTCTGTGTGGAGTTTGCACATTCTCCCCGTGTCTGTGTGGGTTTCCTCCCACAGTCCAAAGATGTGCAGGTTAGATGGATTGACAATGCTAAATTGCCCATAAAGGTGTACGTTGGATGGATCAGCCATGGAAAATGCAGGTGAAGGTGCAGCACTCCAAAAGCTTGTGATTTCAAATAAACCTGTTAGGCCATAACCTGGTGTCATGTGACTTCTGACCTTACATTATTCCAGTAGGTTTCTTTGCTTACTTGCACAGACTTTATGACCACTAATGCCATGATTATGACCATTAGAATTGTAATCAGTAATATCCCCATCTCTACATCTCAAGGTCCAAACCTCATAGTTTGAGATTACATGGAACTCTGACTGGATGTCCCAATCTGTTTTGCTTGAGTTTAGCACTAAGGTAATAGTGTTGTACCACTTCCAGAATTTTTAGTCCACTCTGTGCTCTGATCTGATGTAGTACAACATACTTAGTCTCAATTCTTGGCTCAAGTAAGGTCAATGTCCCTTTCCTCTCTAAATTTCATTTCAGGCATTCTTACACATTAAGATCTTAGTTGAACTGTTTTTTCTGATAACCATGGGTTCTGACTTCTTGTTCCTTAACCAGACTTTTGATCCTGACTTTAAGGTTAACAGATTGTTCGCTGTGTCTTTTAGCAAATCTACTGCTTTCTACTTTTCCATAGTTCTTTTATCATCTCCTGATCCTGAAACGATATTTTTTGCTTGTGATTATAATCTAAAATTATAATTATAATACATATTCAACCTCCACCCCATTAACAGTTCCACTGGTTAGTCTTGCACTGAAATTGAATCATACCTTACAGACAATGTCCCAGTCAACACCATCAGCATCCTTAGTTATGTCCTATTCAAACTTCAGGACAGACCCATCAGAAGTGCTGGCACAGTAGTATAAAGCTGGGAGGGAATTGACTTGGAAGTCCTCAACATTTACTCTAAACCCTACGATGTTTCATGACTTTAGGTCCAAAATGAGCAAGGAAACCTTCTGCTCATTACCACCGACCACACCGCCTCTACTAACTCAGCTGGTCAAGTTCTAAAAGACATAACTGCCTGGTTGGATCTACAGCAGGCAAAGAGGGTATCAATATGAAGGAAAATCAACTTGAACTCATCTTCACCAATCTACTTTTCACAAATGACATCCATGACAGTCTTAGTAGATGTGACAACCACACAGTCCTTGTGGAGATGAAGACCTAGCTTGGCACTTAGGATTCTACCGTGTTGTGGAGTACCACCCACTAAATGGGATAGATTTCAAACAGATCCAGCAATTCACAACTTAGTAACCAATAGGCGCAGTGTGCTAGTAGATTGTAACCTCTATCTGTAACATCAAGGCCTGGTATTTCCCCCACTCCACCATAATTATTAACCTGGGAGATCAACCCTGATTCAAGGAAGAATGCAGGAGAACATGCCAAAAGCAACATCAGGCATACTTAAAATGTAGATGTCAACCTGGTAAAGCAACAATACAGGACTACCTTCAAGCCAAACAACATAAGCAATAAGTGATGGACAGAGCTAAATAATCCCACAACTAACCAATTAGGTCTAAGCTCTGCAGTCATACTACACCCATTGTGAGTGGTAGTGGATAATTAAACAACTCACTGGACAAGGAGGTTCAAGAAATATCTCCAATTCAATCAAGGGGTAGTCCAGCACTTCAGCACAAACTATCAGACTGAAGTATTTGCAACAATCTTGATTATAGAGCATAATGAAGGAAAATGTTAAGTTCTTTATTTTGGTAGGAATAATAAAAAAAAGAGTATTACTTTAAATGTTGAAAGATTGGGGAATTCTGAGGTACAAAATAACTTAGGTGTTCCAGCTAGTATACAGGTAGAGCACATAATCAAGAAGACCAAATTTAGTTACTTGTGACAAAAGAACAATGATTGGTGGTGATCACAGAGGATAGGCGGCATCTACGCAGAGAACACAAGCTAACATTTTGAAAAGTCTAGATGACTCTTCATCACAGTCATCATCAAAGTTAAAACATTGTTTTAAAATTAGGTGTGACCTTTTAAGGATGGAGATGAGGAGAATTCCTTTCTCTCAGAGAGTTGTGCAATGTTGGAACGCTCTGCCTCAGAAGGTAGTGGAGGTAGGGTGCTGCGAATATTTTTAAAGTGGAAGTGCATAGATTCTTGTTCGGCAGGAGAAACAAAAATTTTCGGGGATAGATAAGAATGTGTATTCAGAGCACAGAGCAGCCGTGATCTTATTCAATGGTGCAGTAGGTTTGAAATGCTAAATGGCTTACGTTTGCTCTTAATTCATATGTTTGTAAAATGCACAATTTCTAATGTTTAACATATTTGTTTGTTAGACTTGACCTAACTTTCCCAGCAGGAAGAACTGGTATTCTACAGGCTGGATATCAAGCTGCTGGATTAGGTGCATCCCTTGCTCTGGCCCTTATTGGAGGGACCATCACAGGTCAGAAACCACAACACAACCAATAATTCTTTTTCAGTGAATAGCTTAATTACAAATACAGCCTTCAGCATGATGCACTCACAACAGTTAATTTGACAATCAATCAAGTAGAAAAAGAATATTTGTATTGTAATCAGTAACTAGGCTTTGACTTTGATGGAGGCCAAAGATCCATTTGTTACCCATTATAAATTTTTAATATATAAAGCTGTCCTCCTCTACTGAAATTAATTATGGTAATTATTCAAACTGTCTTGTTTTATAGGCCTGAAGGTCTTATTGTCAAGATGATGATATGAAATTACAGGTTTACATGTTACAATATAACTCATGGCATCTCATTTTGCTAGAATTATGATTTGTACACAGAAATGTGGGATAAGAAGATATATATTCAATATCCAACTGAAACTACATTAGTCAAATCATTTTGAATTGAAACTCATGTTTTCAATCAAATTCTGTACATGAAAGAATAACTATCAAAGACAAATGGACATGCCTCAACAATATATTCTGCTTGGCTTACATGGTATTTCCTTGTTCACTGCGAATAAAGCACATTGACTGCTTTATCAACTAAATGATGTACTTTCGATGCACTTATGGCAGGCAGTATGAATTGGAGGGTTTCTCTGTCAGATACACCTGCAATGGAACAGCTTCCCCATGTTAGAAGACTCTATGCCAAGATCAAAATATCATCTTTATTCCAAGGGACTACCTTATATCCACACACTACCTGAAGTATATAGTCATAGGAGTGGCTAGCAAATCAAATGCGCTGATGAATACTTGTACAAATCAGTCCAAATTTTAAAAAAAATTAAGAAGTGAGGAATTCAGACCAGACTAGATTTAGATGAACTACAGCGCAGCCTTTTCTAAATTAGGTGCAGAATGTCAGAATTTTTTTTGTATATGTATAATAGTAGCTTATAATTTTTTTTATCTTATTGTGGTTTTCTGTGAAAGGGCATATAAACCATCCATCTTTGTTATGTCTATCCTTTTACTACAAAAGAGGTCACCACAGGTGAATGTTAATTATACAAAAATATACATTCATTCACATAATTAATTAAAATGTTTTATGAGTTTCCTACACCAGTGTCATTAATTTTTCATTTGGGTGTTATCCCATTCTCAGCATTTTTCATTAACACACAAATCAATATTGGACTACTACACTTTTCCATTGGAGTAAATAGAATATTATGTCTGTAACTTATAATTCAAAGGACTGATAACTACTTATAAGGCTAGCAAAAATATTATTCAAGAGGTAAATGTCAATGAACTAAGAACTGACTGACCATACATGATGAAATCCTCTCTTTTTACTGTGTGGAAAAATTAATGTCCTGAAGGGAGAGATAAATAATTATAACTTGAAAATATACTTTTCCTGCCTTCACAGGTTTCATTCTATGCATTTCTTTTTGGGGACAGCCACCAGATCAAAATTGTTTTGATGATGATATTTATTGGGAGGTATGAAATTGTTACATACTCATATAAAATTTTATATAGGAATACCATCTTTTTTGTCTGTACTCACAACTTACAAGTAATTTTGCATTTAAACTGCTAATGCACTTACCTTTTGCTTTTAATACTTCAAATTTGGTATTATTTTTGACATGTCTTGAATTTTGAATCTCAAAAATGATTATTTAATAGAAATATACAGTTTAGTGTTAATTTATGCTAGAGAAAGAGCACCTGAAAGAGATGATAGGTTAATGGTATTCATCTGCATTATAACTGCAACAGGCAGTCAGTCCACCTATGGCCTCATGTTCAACTACTCCATACATGACCTAAGAACACACAATGTAGAAACTAAATGCAAACCGTTCAAATATATTCAAGGCTAAGATCATGCATATAGGTAAGCATTAATTATGCGATCCATTCAAAAACTGGTTAGCCCAGTGTGCTAGATATGAATTCTAAATCATTGTTATTCCATGATCCTCATATGTTATTTTATTTGTAAAAGTCTAATCACACTTTTACATAATGGGGTATCTTATTAATATTTCTCAAGTCCTAGATCTAATGTAGACAGGATCTAAATGTATGGTTTTACACAACAATTACGTATTAAATTGCAAAATTTTGATCAAGTACCCCGTTACTGCGCATGTGAGACACAAGCTCAAATTCCTCGATGACAGCATTAGCCATGACCTTCGATTCAGGAATAAAATTGTAAACTGACAGCATAAATGAAAAGTTCAATGAATTTGCATCTTCAAAGCTTTTTGTTTCTCTTTCATGGTAGTGATTCTTTTACTTATTTGCAGGTGCCAGACGGTGAAACTGAAAATGAAAATCTACTTTCTTCAGAACATGGAAGGCAGAAAACTAATGCTGAAGCATGAACCGACGTGATTTTTTTTTTAAAACGTCATCAACATTTAAAGCCTGCCAAACGGAAATCAAAAACACTAATATTTCACCCAAAATATTTTATATAGCACAGTCTATTTAAATGAATAAAAAAGAAGTCTGAGAATTATATTAGAATTAATTTACTGTGCTATTTTGTACGGTAAAATAACTTGATAAAAATACAAAATATGCTTCTCTTTTGATAATATCCAGGCTTTTTTCTATTTCTTTTTATTCATATAGTTCTTAATTTTCTAGTGCTCTGTTTGATTTGCTTATACATAACACGTAGAATTCTTTTTTATTGTAGTTGCAGAGAGGCAGGACATCAAGTTATTGTGGATTCAAATACACTGCAGGACTCAAGCTTAATTGTAGTAAATCAAATACGGAGAGTGTGTTGCATTGCTAAAAGTTGATTGGTATAGATTCTTGATAATCAAGGGAATGAATGTTTATCAGGGATAAGTGGAAATGTGATGTGATCCTATTGAGTGGTGGAGCAGGCATGAGGGAATGAGTGGTCTAATTCTCCTAATTCAGATGTGCATACATATGTTCATGAAGCCGTTCTGATATGTTAAAACCAAGTTACTATCTGGCTTGTCTCGTGGATTCTGTAGCACTTTTTGAAGAAATCTAGGGAGTGCTCCCAGTTTTCGAACCAGTGTTAATTCATTTAACCAACATGGTAAAAACACAGTACTTGATTACTCATGTCAGTTCTGTTTGTGAGGCTTCACTGTGATGTAGATCTGTCTAATGTAAGATACATAAGAACAGTGACTATGCCTCAAATAAAAAAAATATTACTTTTGAGACAATTGGGATATTTTGAGCATCTGAAAAGCATTATATGAATGGCATTTTTAAAATCTTAGCTACATAATACATATTAGAGCAGTGGGATAAATACTGAAGTTAATCTGTGCACTTCAAGTATGGAGTAGAAAATAGCAAAACGTTCTCAAAGCTGACCAGTATGCAAAGGTCACATTGGGAAGTGCATATATAAGGACAGAACTGAGCTTGTTAAAATTCTTGTATGTCAAATAACCTACCATTACTGGACTTACATGTCGAATGGCCACTTCTAGACACTGGAGAGACTAACATTTAAAGTTTTTTCTTCCTGGTATAAAACTTTAACAAAATAATCATTCAAGTCTGAAGATGGTAAACAAACTAAGATCAAAAAAGCAAAATTGCTTTACAGCAGTGATACTGACAGAAACTTTCCAACACAAATTAATTTACAAAATAAATTACATTTAGATAACATAGTGAAATGTTCCTATATGTTTAAGAAGAGTGCAGGAGAAATAAGTCAGATAACTAAAACCTTGTTTAAAGAGGTAGCTTTAAGGAATGTCTTACAGAACAATAGGAGACAAGCTGGAGAGATGTGGGGAGAGAATTCCAAAGTTAACTGCCTTGACAGCTGATGCATTTGTTAACCAAATGTGTAGCTAAGGAACTGTGGTTGAGGTGATGAACAGAAGGACCAAACTGGTTGAAAACAGAATTCTTAGAGGATTTTAGAACTCTGGGAGATCACAGAGTTAGAGAGGAGTGAGGGATTTGAACAGGAGGATAAAACACTTCAATTTAAAGCAAGTACCAAACACAGTTTCTCATTGGTAATGGGAAAAGACCGTTTTAAGTTTTTTAAATGTTTCAAGGATAAATATAATTTGCACCTTTCAAGATCTATATACCTGTGGGTCGTATAAAGCATTTACAAAATGTGCAGCAGGAAATAGAGTTGAAATATATATGAAAACGAAAAGAAGTGCAGAAAGCTACAAAATAGTAAATATTGCTGATACAAAATGACATGTGAATGCATGACAAAATAATCTTTTTTATGTGAGCAAAAGCAATCAACAATGACTACATTTTAGACATATATTCTGTAAATGGAAACCCCAATAGCATTGTTTTCTTTATTCTGTGTAACATTCAACAAGACCTTCATTACAGAGTTACGAATCTAATATTATTCCATTTCCAAGAACAAAGATTTTGTACACCCTATGCAGTTTATCAAATGCTTGCATCAGGTTATATTATGTAAGTATTAACAGCAAGTCTGCAAGAAAAATACACAGTAACAAGTAACAGATGGCATAAAATATATCATATAGCTTGTGAAAGAAAAACCTGAATGCACGTTTTATGTTTAATTGATTAATGTTGTCTAAAGCTTAAAAATCTTGGTGTAGCAATGTGCTTAATAGTTTTTACAAGGTATGTATTTTCTGCTTTTGTGGAGAATATCACGCTACTGATTTTTGCATTTTTATCACCTTGTTTATGATTCTACAAATGTATATAATACAATCACATTTATAATTATATGGCAGTCTTGTAATTGTTGTATTTGACAAAAGACCCAGATGTTATGAGTTGGATGTTCTACATCTAAAACTATGATGCAAGTCTCAATAAATGTAATACTTTCTTGTAAACTTACAGCATAGGAGGAGTCTATTTGGCCCATCAAACCTCTGTACCAGCTGCAGAAAAATGATAGATGATATCTCACGAAAAACCTGTCATCCCTATCTGGGCAGACATAGATATGATGTCACTTCCTTACTACATGGCTGACTCTTAATTGCTTCTAATGTGACCAAGCAAACCAACCTTTTAGAGGTCATTATTACATTGCACAGTAGTGCACAATCAGGTATTGATTAATTAATGAATAATGCTCCATGGTAAAGATCATTAAGAGGGCAACACGGTGGCTCAGTAGTTAGCATTGCTGTCCCACAGGGCGATGGTCCATGTGGAGTTTGCACATTCTCCCATATCTGTATGGGTTTCCTCTGGGTGCTCCAGTTTCCTCCCACAGTCCAAAGATACGCAGGTTAGATGGATTGGCCATGCTAAATTGCCCAGAGTGCCCAGGGATGTACAGGCTGTGTTAATTAGCCATGGGAAATACAGAGTTACAGGAATAGAGTGGGGGTTGCATTGCTCTTCAGAGGGTCTGTGCAGACTTGATGGACCGAATGGTCTATTTCTATATTGTAGGGATTCTGTGAGGAGGCTCTGGGGAACATTGGTAATGTGTTTCAATTTCCATTGCCAAGCAGAACATGATGGTAACGTAACTGACCAAGCCAGTTTCAAAGATTTGGTCCCAACTCATACTGGGTCAGATGAACAACGCTTGGAAACAACTGACTTGTCTTTGAAATTAAAAAGAAAACTCTGAACAGCAGGTTGCATTAGCAGTCAGGGAAATAGAGGCTTCCTTTAGACTGTGCTCAGATTGAGGAATTGTAAATCACTAGTGGAAAGTCTCAAAGCCTAGAATATACTCATTCCAAGATCAATATTTCATTTGTAAGCTATGTTGTCCAGAAAACTCTCTTGTACGCTGCTTATGATCAAGACATGGTTCTGTTGAAGCTGGACTTTTATTTCAGCCCTAGAGATAGAAATGTCAGCATTCAATAGTCTTTTTGATTTTTTTCTATATCCGTTCATGACATTTGAATGATATATAAACCTGGATGCCTAAAACTCCTTAAGATGGGGATAGTGCAGTTGATGTAATCTTTGCATACTTCATTAAGACTTTTGACAGCTTGTTGCATACAAGACTGTTCAAGAAGATATCCATGGGATCCAGGGCATTTTGGCAAATTGGATTCATAATTGGCTTAGTGGTACAAAACAAAGGGTGATGGTCAAAGGTTTTTTTTAACTGGAAGCCTGTGTCCTGTAGTGAACTGCAATGTTCAGTGCTAGGCCCCTTGATGTTTGATGTGTACAATAATAATCTCGACATGAATGCAGGAGACTTGATCAGTAAGTTCATAGATGATGTGAAAATTGATAATGCAATACATAGCAAGAAGGAAAGTCTTAGATTACAGTATGATATAGATGTGTTGATCAGATGGGCAGAACAGTAGTAAATGGAATTTAATCTGAAAAAATGTGAGGTGATGAATTTTGGGATGACCAAACAAGGCAAGGGGATACACAATGAATGAACCTCATTCTTGTCGCCACATTACCAAAAGGATGTGGATGCTTTGGAGAGGGTGCAGAGGAGGTTCACCAGGATGTTGCCTGTTATGGAGGGCGCTAGCTATGAAGAGAGGTTGAGTAGATTAGGATTATTTACATTAGAAAGACTGAGGTTGAGGGGGGACTTGATTGAGGTCTACAAAATCATGAGAGGTATAGACAGGGTGGATAGCAAGAAGCTTTTACCCAGAGTGGGAGACTCAATTACTAGGGGTCACGATTTCAAGGTGAGAGGGGAAAAGTTTAAGGGAGGTATGCGCGGAAAGTTCTTTACGCAGAGGGCGGTGGGTGCCTGGAACGAGTTGCCAGCAGAGGTGGTAGGGGAGGGCACAATAGCGTAATTTAAGATGTATCTAGACAGATACATGAATGGGCAGGGAGCAGAGGGATACAGATCCTTGGAAAATAGGCGACAGGTTTAGATAGAGGATCTGGATCGGCGCAGGCTTGGAGGACCGAAGGGCCTGTTCCTGTGCTGTAATTTTCTTTGTTCTTTGTTCTTTGTTCTAACCCTAGAAAGTACAGAGGATCAGAAGGATCTTGGTATGTATGTGAATTGATCCTTCAAGGCAACAATATAGGTGGATAAGGTTATTAAAAAGGTATATGAGATATTTGCCTTTCTTAGTTGAGGTATTGAAATCAAGAATAGAGAGATTATGTTGAAGCTGCATAAGATAATAATTAGACCGCAGCTGGAGTACTGTATACATTTTAACTACAGAGGCACTAATTCTTTAAAGCAGAGAAGGCTGAAGGTATACAAACCGTGAGGTCAAAAATCACACAACACCAAATTATAGTCCAACAAGTTTATTTGAAAACACATCCTTGCAGAGCCTTACTCCTTATTTAAATAGACAGGAATAAGCTTTCCCCTTAATAAAGATGTCAATAACCAAGATACATAAATTTGGGGAGGAGGTTTAGAGGGCATTTAAGGAAGAATGTTTTTATCCAGTGGGTGATAGATATCTCAAACTCACCAACAAAAAGGGTTGTAGAGGTAAGAACCATCACATTTAACTAAGTATTTACATTAACACCTGAAACACTATACCATACAAGGTTACAGGCTAAGTGTTGAAAAGTGGAACTAGAATAGATGGGTGCTTGATGGTTAAAGCAAACATGAAGGGTTGAAAAGCCTCTTTCTGTGCTGGGAAACATTAAGACTCATCAAAATCTCTTACTCAAACATCTGTGGAGAATAAAATTGAACGTATTCAAGTCTGAGATTGTTAGATGCTTGATCTACAGGGAAGTGAAAGGGTACAAGGATCAATCAGGCAAAAAGGTAAATTTTATGCAAAATCAAATCAGCCTTTACCTTATTGGCTTAAGGTGCTACGTGGCCTACTCTTGCTCCAATTTCTTGCACTTTTATATTCAGTACAAAATACTAGTGAACATTCAGCTCCTCCATTGTTGGAGGCTCATGAAGACTAGTTAATAAATTAAAGTTGCCATAATCCCAGACGACCATAGGGCTGCTCTCAGTAGAGAGAGATGACTGGTAGCAAGTTTAACCTGACGGTCACCACAGCTCAGGAAAGTTTGATAACTAGAACACTCATGGTAACCTCAGCTGTTATGGGAATTCAACCCGCACTGTTACCATCAATCTGTATTGCAAACCAGCTATCCACTCAACTAAGATAACTGACACCCCACTGGCTAATAATATAGCAGTGAGATCAACATTCTTGTAATTTGATTCCCATCTAACTGAATTTTTTTGGCAGCATGTTAAAATGAAGCCAAAAATTTATTCTTACAAAACCAAATTCTTTACCGAGTTAAAGCGACTTGTGCTGCATGACTATTTTTGAGAATCTATTTTTGGAAGGATATCTACTTTTACTTTAAAGCTGATAAATTCCTTTTTTTCTAGTTTGTGCAACATATTTTTCTTCTGCTATTTTAAAAAAAATATGCTATTTACATTATTGCTGAGAGACATACATTTTACAGTATGGGCCAATACATATAACTTGACCTTGCAATTTAAATGACTAGCTAAACAGACTGATCAAAGTACAAAGGAAGGAAAACCATGTACAAGTTAGTTGGGTCCTCAAATCAGTCAATCGATAAGACTTTGTGTCCTTGAACTGATTACAGCATGATAATGGGAGGGATAATGCATCATATCACCATTCAACTTGATTTGGTTTTATTCACCTTTTCTCTTATTTATAATGAAAAAAAATGCAGAAAAGGCAGGGAGTGGAATTAGGTAAGTTGTTCTTGCAAAATGCCAACATGCACACAACAAACCAAATGGCCTCTTTCAGAGTATTTATCACTCAATGACTTCCTTGTTTTCGGATGGCAGTATTCATGACCCTGCCATTCATACCATCTCTGGACACATTTTATTTCTTTCCTTGTTCTATTACTACACCATTTTAGACTTGAACTATAAAGCCCTTTGTAATTCAATCTCACCCTATGAAAGACATTTTGTTCTTTTCCCACCTGTTCCCTTTTCATTTGTTCAAAACCAATTGCACTTCTAACTTTTTCGCAGGTCTCATGAAAGGCTACAAATTTTGACCTTTTTTCCAATTTAAATTTTATTCATAAATTTAAAAAACAATGAGTTTAAAAAACAAATGCAAAACAAAACAGTGTCTTTCAATACTGTACTTCTAAAAAATGCCTGGTAATGTCTGGCATTGTTGCATTGGGCATGTGTTGCTTCAGAATCTGAGGAGTTATAAATGGCGTTGAACATTGTGCAATCATTCATAAACATCATCACTGTCTCTATGATGGAAGGTCATTGATTAAGCAGCTGAAGATGGCTAAGCCTAGGACACCACCATGGCCTAGAAAACCTGCAGTGATGTCCCGGAATATAGATGATAGCCTTCAATATACACAACAATCTTCCTTTGGGCCAGCTACAACTCCAACCATTGGAGAAATTTTCCCCAATTCACACTGACTGTAATTTTGCAAAGGTTCCTTCACGTAATACCATGATGTCAAGGGTAGTCACTCTCACTTCACATCTCCAATTTATCTCTTCTGTCCATGGTAGGAACAATGCTGTAATGAGGTGAGGAACTGACTGGCTCTATCAGAATTGATGGTCCTTCCATCAGTTTGCTGATGATCAAGAATAGACTGATAGGACAGTAATCAGCTGGTTTGGATTAGTCCTGATTTTTGCACAGTACACACCAGGGCAATTTTCCACATTGTCTGGTAGCTGCCAGAAGAGTTGCTGTATTTGAACAGCTTCTTTTGGAGCACAAGTAATTCTGGAGCTCCAGTTTTTGGTACTATTTATGAAATACTGGCAGAGCCCATGATATTTTCAGTATCCAATGCCTTTTTGATATCATAAGGAGTGAACTCAAGTGGTTGAAGATTGGCATCTATGAAGTATGGCACTTCAGGAGGAAGTTGA